TGAAAGTGTTACAGGTGTCCCCTTTGTTTCTTTTTATCCCATTGACCCCTTCCATCCTACATCTGCCCCTACCAGGCCTTCAACACAGTATTATCTGTGTCCATGGGCTATACATACAAGCATAGTAAGTTTCTCGGTTAATCTCTCCCTCCCCAAGACCCACCCCCACATTTCCTCTGAAATTTTCAGTCGGTTCCATCCTTCTATGTCTCTGGATCTAATTTTGTTCATCAGTTTATTTTGTTCATTAAATTCCACATATGAGTGAGATCATGTGATACTTTCTCTGATTGGCTTATATCACTTAGCATAATATTACTCGCTAATCCATGCTGTTACAAATGGTAAGAGTTACTTCTTTTTTTACAGCCAAGTAGTAATCCATTGTGTAGATGTACCACAGCTTTTTAACCACTCATCCTCTGATGAACACTTGGGCCATTTCCAAATCTTAGCTATTATAAATTGTGCTGCTATAAACATAGGGGTGTATATATTCTTTCTGATTGGTGTTTCTGATTTCTTAGAATATATTCCTTGAAGTGGGATCACTAGGTCAAGTGGGAGTTCCATTTTTAATTTTTTTAGGAACCTCCATACATTCATGTGTTGTGTTATCAAGTTCTATGCGTTGTGTCTAGGGTTTGAAAAATACATAATCTCATCACTGTTTTCTACAGTTGCTGCATCACTCTGCATTCCCGCCTGTTGTGTACTTTTCTCCACATCCTCACCAGCACTTGTTTTTTGTTGATATTAGCTATTCTAACAGGTGTGGGGTGGTATCTCATTGTTGTTTTAATTTGCATGTCTCTGATGATTAGTGACTTTGAACATTTTTAAAAGATATCTCTTAGCTTTCTCTATGTCCACTTTGGAGAAGTATCTACTTAGTTCCTTTACTCATTTTATAATTGGATTGTTTGTTTTCCTTTTGTTAAATTGCATGAGTTTTCTATATATTTTGGAGATTAACCCCTTCTCAGATGTATCGTTGCAAAATATATTCTCCCATGTATAGTTGGCTCTCTGCTTATTTTGATGATGGTTTCTTTTGCAGTGCAGAAGCTTTTTATTTTGATGTAGTTCCATTTGTTTGTTTTTTTCCTTAGTTTCCTTTGTCCTAGGAGAGGTAGGTATTCACAAACATATTTCTGCAAGAGATATCTGAGATTTTGCTGCGTATGGTTTCTTCTAAAATTTTTTTATGGTTTCAGGACTTACATTTAAGTCTTTTATCCATTTTGAGTTTATTTTTGGGTATGATGTAAGTTGGTGGTCTAGTTTTATTTTTTGCATGTCCAATTTTTCCAACATTATTTATTGAAGAGACTATCTTTACTCCATTGTATGTTCTTGCCACCTTAGTCAAATATTAATTGAGCATAATGGTTTGGATCAATTTATGGTTTGTCATCTCTGTTTCATTAATCTACATGCCTGTTCTTGTGCCAGTAATAGGCTGTTTTGATTATGGTGGCTTTGTAGTATAATTTGATATCTGGTATTGTGATTCTTCCAACTTAGTTCTTCTTTCACAAGATTGCTATGACTATTTGGGATCCTTTTTGATGCCATATCAATTTTTGGAGTATTTATATGCTGTTGGGATTTTAATAGGGATTGCAGAATCTATTGATTGCTTTTGATAGTATGGACATTTTAATGATGTTGCTTCTACCAATCCATGAACATGGTGTATTCTTCCATTTGTTCATATTTTCCTCTATCCCTTTTTTCTTATTTTATTTTATTTATTTATTTTTTAAATTTTTAATTATTTATTTATTTTATTTTTAAAAATAAATCTCTATTGTTCATATTATTACAAATGTTTCTCATTCCCACCCCCTCCATTGTTCCCCTCCACCAGGTTCTCACCCTACCCTCTGCCCTTTCCCACCCCCTATTGTGCTCATCCATAGGTGCACAGTTTATGTTCAGTCTCTTCCTGCACCCCCCACTCCTCTTTTCCCCGAGAATCGTTAGTCCACTCCCCTTCTATACCTCTGATTTTATTATATTCAGTTAATATTGTTCATCAGGTTTTTTAATTCCCTTGGTTTTTAGATTCACTTGTTTATAGTTATGAATTTGTTGTTCATAATTTTTATCTTTATTTTCTTCCTCTTCCTAAAGAACCCCCTTCAGCAATTCATATAATTCTGGTTTGGTGGTGATGAACTCCTTTAGTTTTTTTTTATTTTATTTGTGAAGCTCTTTATTTGGCCTTTGATTCTGAGTGACAGCTTTGCTGGGTGGAGTATTTTTGGCTGTAGGTTCTTGTTTTTCATCACTTTAAATATTTCTTGCCATTCCCATCTGGCCTGCATGGTTTCTGTTGAGAAATCAGCTGACAATCATATGGGTGCTCCTTTATAGGTAACTACCTGCTTTTCTCTTGCTGCTTTTAATATTCTCTCTTTGTCTTTTGCTCTTGGGATTTTAATTATGATGTGTCTTGGTGTGGTCCTCTTTGGATTCCTTTTGTTTGGGGTTCTGTGCACTTCCTGGACTTATAAGTCTAATTCTTTCACCAGGTGGGGGAAATTTTCTGTCACTATTTCTTCCAGTATGTTTTTGGTATCTTGCTCTCTCTCTTCTTCTGGGACCCCCATAATTCTGATGTTGGTTTGCTTAAAGTTGTCCCAGAGGTTTCTTACACTATCTTCAACTTTTTGGATTCTCTTGTCTTCTTTCTTCTGCGGAGGAGTGTCTTCTGGCTCTTTATGTTCCAAATCTTTGACTTGATTCTTGCAATCTTCCATTCTGTTTTTAGGACTCTGTATAATTTTTTTTATTTCAGACAATGTATTCTTTATTTCTTGTTGATCCCTTTTTATTTCTAGTTGATCCCTTATTATATCCTCATAGTCTTGTTTATTTTATCAGCCTTTTCTAGGAAATTCTTGAAAAACCTTATAAGCATGGTTTTGAACTCTATATTCAGTCACTTTTTGTCCTCCATTTCTTTCGTTTGTGATCTATTTCCTTGTCTCGGTATTTTCGCTGCTTCTCTGAGTTGGTAGGGTGGCTTTGTGTGCTAAGGTGTCCTATATGGTTCAGTGGGTCAGCCTCCCAGTTACCTGAGGTGGACACTCTTGGTGCACCCCTTTTGTGGACTGTGTGTACAGCCTTGTTGTAGTTAAGTCTTGATTGTTGTTGGTATCACTGGGAGGAACTGACCTCCAGGCAAATTGGCTGTGAGGATCAGCTGTGTCTATGCCAGGAGACAACCTTATTCTACTAGACTTGGAAAATTGCAAAAGCCTCTGTGCTCAGCTTGGATGGGGTGGAGTTTCCGGGTGGAGCCTACAGCCTTGGCACCCATCAGCCCCGACCAATGAGGTTCCTGAGTCTCTGTGTTCCTCAGTGTTCTTTTGTACTCGCTGCAAGCACCTCTGAAAGAAAGGTGCCCTCGAGTTTCGCCCGCTACCAGACAGTCTAGTCTCTCCCCCAATGAGCCATGAACTGGGGGTCTGTGCAGTTGGAAATGGGGTTCAGTGCAGTCTGGAGCTTTTGTCTCCTTCCCTTTAGGGCAATCCAGCAGCATAGCCAACAGTCCCTCTGCGTACAACGTGTGCACCTCCAGGACTCTGCCTTTCGCCGCTCCCCTGAGTTTCCGCCTTACAGCCCAGATTCCCTCCTTATGAGCCTGGGTCCCCAGGGTCTCACCCAGAACTGGGATTCAGTGCAGTCTGAACTGGGGTTCAGCACAGTCCAGAGCTTTTATCTTCTTCCTGCTAGGGAACGCCAGCCAGGCAGTCAGCCTCCCCCTCCTCTCCAGTTCAGTCCTCTCCCCACACGCACACCGTGTCTCCGTACCTTAGGCTTTTATAGCTCCTCTGATTTTCCTTCTGGTTTTCTCTTTCTTTCTAGTTGTAGAATTTCCAGTCAGTTGACTTTCCTGTAGTTCTGGCTAATGTCCATTTTGTATTTTTTGAAATTGTTGTGTGAGGCTGCAGTTAGGCATTTACCTATGCCATCATCTTGGTTTCTCCTCTATCCTTTTTTCCAACGTCCTATAGCTTTCTAAGTACAAGTCTTGTACCTCCTTTGTTAAGTTTATTCCTAATTATCTTAATTTTTTGTAGTTGCAATGGTAAATGGGATTATTTAATTTCTCTTCCTGAGAGTTCATTATTGGTAAATAAAAATGACATGGTTTTCTAAATGTTAATTTTGTATCCTGCTACATACATTGCTGAATTCATTTATTAAAGCTGGTAGTTTTTTTTTTTTAATGGAGTCTTTAGGATTTTCTATGTATAATATATCTGTAAATATTGATAATTTTACTTTCTCTTTTTCAATTTGAATGATTTTTTTTATTTTTATCTTCTTATCTGATCACTGTGGCTAGCACTTCTAGTACTATTTTGAGTAAGAGAGGTAAAAGTGGATGTCCCTGTCTTGTTCTTTTCTTAGGGGAAATAATTTTAATATTTTATCCATTAACTGTGATGTAGTTTTGTCATATATGGCCTTTATTATGTTGAAGTATGGTCCCTCTATCCCACTTTGCTGATAATTGTTATGAAAAAAGGGTGCTGGATATTGTCGAATGCTTTTTTGTTTCAATTGATATGATCATATGATTTTTGTCTTCCAATCTGTTTATGTGATGTATCACATTTGTTGATTTGCAAATATTGTACCAATCTGTTTATGTGATGTATCACATTTATTGATTTGCATATATTGCATCCCTGGAATAATTCCCACTTGGTCATAGTATATGATCTTTTAAATGTAAGTAGTTCTCTTTTAGATATTTGGAAATTAAACTTCAGAGTTTTAAACTCTTATTTACCCTAAAATCACATGGCTAGGTCTGTCTGACCTCCTTAAATATAATACTATTAAGATCCTGGCCAGAGATTATGGAGCCTGATAAGGAGCCTTTCTTTTGGGCTGATCCAAGAGATGTGTGTTCTGAGATATGCTTCATGTGCTAAGAACTGGATGTCTGGCACCTGTGAACTACTCATAATTACTAACCACCTAAAACACTTTTGTGGATTACAGGGGAAGCCTCAGATATTATTTACTTTGGAACATCCAAGAAACGGTTATCAACCTTGAAGTTTATTGGGCAATATGGCAATGGTCTTAAAAGGTGAGAATTTCTTTTCTTTAAGGCATATATTATTGATAATGGAACAATGTTTAGTTAAAGACAATCTTATCTAGAAACTAGTGGCCCAGTGTATGAAATTCGTGCATGGGGAGGAAGGGTTCCCTCAGTCCAGCCTGCACCCTCTCCAAACGGGGACCCCTTGGGTGATGTGCGACCGCCGGTTTAGGCATGATCTCACAGGGATTGGGCCTAAACCGGCAGTTGGACATTCCTCTCACAATTTGGGACCATTGGCTCCTAACTGCTCACCTGCCCGCCTGACTTTATCACCCCTTACTGTCTCTGCCTGCCTGCCTCATTGCTTGTAACACCTCTGCTTGCCTGACTGATCATCCCTAACCTCTTTGTCTGCCTGCCTGATCGCCCCTAAGTGACACCGCCTGCCTGCCTGATTGCCCCTAACTCCCCTCCCCTGCTGGCCTGATCTCACTCCGAACTGGGCCAGCCTGATCTTGCCCCCAACTGCCCTCCTCTGCCTGCCTAATTTCATCCATAACTGTCCTCCCCTGCTGGCCTGATTGTGCCTAATGGCCCCTGCCTCGACCCTACCACCATGGCTTTGTCCAGAAGGAAGTCAGATGTCTGGTCAACCCAATCTAATTAGCATATTACCCTTTTAGTAGTATAGATAAATTATATAGGATAGGATTGCTTAAATGGAAGGTGAGAGAAGCCTTTTTCAGTAGGAGGAGATGCTTTTGGCAGACAAAAATACATAAGCCCTCTATCTGGATTGATAGCTATATGCACTCTACTGCCAAACTGGTCATTAAAAAACTGAACTACATTTTTACACCTTACATCAAATAGCTGTTGCCCTTAAAATCCCTTTTCAGCCCCTACCTTAGGTTCTGTCTTTGTAGTTCACCCAGATTAGGTTCTGATTGGTTGGTTTTTATGCCAGTCAATGTCAAAAGCTCTACCTCTTAGGCAGTTATTGGCTCCTCACAGTTCACCCAGATTTAGTTCTGATTGGTTGGTTCTATGCCAATCAGTGTCTCTGGGCGTATCAATGGGCCTTATCAGAGAGGCAGGATTGATTAGCAGCCCCAGCGGCTGCCTCAAAGAAAGAGGCATGGCTGCTGGCCAGGCCCGGAGCAAAAGAGAGAGGCAAGTGCTGATCAGCAGCTTCCACAGAGGCTACAGATCAGACCCTGCCTTTCCTCCCCAGGCCTTTCTGCAGGCCTGATCCGCAGCCCCATTGGCAGTCAGTGCTGGTTCGGGGCTCCCACAGCAGCGGCAGTCAGTGCTGGGTCTCCACAGCTACCCAGCACTGACTTCAGGTTGGTTGAGCCTTCGGTCATTTTTGATGTTACGATCCTTGGGTTTTTATATATTAGGATGGTCGAAGTTTATAAAACTTTAAAAAGAATATAAACTTGGGAATTCTACCTTGGTTTGGATTCTCCATACCCTTAAGTGACTTGATCTTTACAACATTTTAAAATTTAATTTTAAAATAAGTGATGAATCTTCTTTCATGAATTACTGTACTTCTGAGCTTAATTGCATCTCTGTAGTTTCTTATTTCTCAAAGCATAGTTTAGCATAAGTGCCATTTGTGTCCATGGTTTATTTCAGTAAAAGCCCATCTAATAAATAGGGCATATGCTAACTGATCCTCACACCATCATAAAGATGGCAGCACCCACAGCCAATAGGGAGTGAATATCCTAATTGACTGTCCCACCCTCAAAGATGGCAGCACCCACAGCCACAAGATGGTGGTGCCCAGTTACCTCAGGCCCGCTGGGACAGTGCGGGCCTGGCTGCTCTGTGCACCTGCCTTCTGTCCCCCCAAGCTACCCAGGGCCAGCCCTAGGTGCAGGAAAGCCTCGGATGGCAGCTGCCAAGCTGCCCAGGGCCACCCAAGATTCAGATAACCAGGGCCAGCGAGGCTTGTGCTGCCAGCAGAGGCAGCAGCAAAGGTGTGATGGGGTGTCACCTTACCCTGATCGCCAGGTCACCTACTGCTCCTGAGGGATCTCAGACTGAGAGGGCAGGCCAGGCTGAGGGATCTCCCCTCCATGGCATGGCCTCTAGTATCTCAATGAAAAGCAAGGCCAAAGGCCACAATCAGCAGTGTGGCAACTGCTAGAGGCAGATGATTGTGCTCTTCTTCAACCCCAGGCCATCTTTATCTCTGGAAGTCATGTCTCAAGCAAGAGTGTGGGCCTGGACTAGTTCAAATCCATCTGTTCTGCTTTGAGAAAAAAAACAAACACACACACACACAAAAAACCATATTGAACTCTCAGTGATGGGTCAGCAAAACAGTGGAGCTATTTCTATGAAGAGAAAACGCATTAAAGAACACACTATCATGCCTACCTATTGCTCCTTTTTAGTGTTTGACATAAAAACTGCTATCTTCTTGATTTTTAATACAGTGGGTCCATGAGGATTGGAAAAGACTTTATTCTTTTCACAAAGAAGGAAGAAACGATGACCTGTGTGTTTTTTTCTCAGACATTCTGTGAAGGAGAAGGTCTGAGTGAGGTAAGAGTTGAGATTTTTTTTTGGTTAAAATGGTATCTATGTTGTTTTCATTTCCTACCTCAGGAGGTAAAATCTACAATGAGTTCTTTCTGGTTATGATTTAGAATTTTAAGAATATGTTTGGGAGATGAAGAAAGAGTGGCTGGGTCATTGGAGGCCTATCTTATTCTCTCTTGGGTTTTCTACTTCTAGGAAGTTTTCAGAACTTTATTTACATTATCTACAAATCTCCCAAAATAAGGGGCTCCTTTTGGCACAGTGAACTGCTTTTGGAAGAAGCTTGCAAATCAGTTATACCACTTGAGCCATAAATGGATTATCATTCTTAAAAGAAATATTGATAGAATATTGGATTCAAAGTCTTGAAATAGAAAATCTAAAGAAACAGAATATGAAATATACTTAATCTCATAACTCCAGTGACCATAATAATTTCAACTCCATTTGATGACCCAGAGACATGTTATTAATTTGCAGTGTCTGAGTTTTACTTTTAGAAACATCAGTTATAATTCAGTACAATGAGTACATATATGTTAAGGAACTGACAATCTGACCATCAGAGTGTTTTTAGCACTGCCACAAAATAAGGCAGACACATATGAATTACCTAAATAATAAAGTGGAATTGTTTAAAAAGAATTCTGTTCAACAAGTATGGTTCCTGCTGCTACAAATTGTCAAAAGCTATGATATGGATGGACACGTTAGTGATCAATGGCGGTTTTATGGAGTATATCTTATTACTAGAAAGGCTGCTTTGTGGAGAGAAATGGTGTACAGAAAGTCTCAAACCTGGAGATAATAAGAATGGGGTTTGAAGAGACAGTATGGAAATGTGAGATTGCCCAGTAAGAGCGGAGCATGCTCACTGGCTACAGTAACATGGGGCTGGATAATAGGAACAGTCTGCAGGCAAAAGGGAATAGCCAATGGGATGCTGACATGAAGAAAAACAATGCTGTAAGCATTATGTTGTACTTTATGTGTGTAAAGGGCATGCAAAATGGGGCCTATGCTCTGTGGCTATAGCTTTCTAAAATGGACCATTCAGCCGAAACCAGTTTGGCTCAGTGGATAGAGCATCAGCCTGCGGACTGAAAGGTCCCAGGTTCGATTCTAGTCAAGGGCATGTACCTTGGTTGCAGGCACATCCCCAGTACGGGGTGTGCAAGAGGCAGCTGACCGATGATTCTCTCTCATTGATGTTTCTAACTCTTTATCCCTCTCTCTTCTTCTCTGTAAAAAATCAATAAAATATTAAAAAAAGAAATTAAAAATAAAATAAAATAAAATAAAATGGACCATTCACCCTACCTTTATTTATTTTATTTTTTAAATATATTTTATTGATTTTTTTTACAGAGAGGAAGGGAGGGATAGAGAGCTAGAAACATCGATGAGAGAGAATCATTGATCAGCTGCCTCCTGCATACCCCCAACTGGGTATATGCCCGCAACCAATGTACATGCCTTTGACTGGAATTGAACCTGGGACCTTTCAGACTGCAGACTGACGCTCTATCCACTGAGTCAAACCGGTTTGGCTCACCCTATCCTTATTTAAAAAAAATAAATAAAACCAGCAACCTCTTTCTATTTCCATAGAGGCAGATTCTTTCAATAATATTAGCTGATTCTTTTGATTTTTTTATTCTGGATATCTGTGTGTAATAGGCTTGTAGTGCTTCTCCTCCCCCACCCCCACCCCGAAGATATTTAATCAATAAATTCACAAAAGTCAACATTGTAATAAAACTGTACAAATATTTAACTAAATTGCAAAATATTCTGAGTGTTTCCAGCATGCAATTTGGCATTATAAGAAATCATAAGAAAAACCATGCCTTTGTGCAATTGTATTGCTACTTTTGATTTAGGCATTACCTGTTAACCTCCTACTATAAAAGAATAGGATTTATCTATTTTCCCCCTGTACTCTTATCACACACATAGCCTTCCAATTTCATAGCTCATTTGTAATTATGGTTATGACAATGTTCAGTATTTATATTATGAGACTATATAAACATCATTTCATAATCATACCATGTCATAAATGGTTATTTTTTCTCTCTCCTGCACAAGTTTTTATTTTCCTTGGAATCAATAATTGTCTGCTTAGTGTTCTATGTACTTATCACTACCACCGACTATCTGCTTGGTTTTCTGTGTCTTTACCACTGCTCACAATTCTGCTTTCCATGGATGGTATTCAGCTGCCATCCTGGGATCTGCCCATGCTGTTGTCCAGGCGAGTCTCTGAATCTTTCCTCTATGTTAAATCTCAGATCCTAAATCTCATGTCTTTTTGGTGTAACATATTCTCCAGTAACATTTTAGCAGGGATGCATGAAAGGTAAAATGTTCTGAGATCTCAAATGCATGAGAGTGTTTTTATCTTGCTTGAAAATGTAATGCTAGTTGGTTTGGTCTTATTGCTAGGTTGGAATAAATTTTCCTTCAGAACTTTGAAGGCATTGCTCCATTATCTCCTAATTTCTAGTGTTTTTTTAAGGAGTCTAAGCCATTTTAATTCCCGAGTCTTGTATGTGACCATTGTATCCCCCTGAACTTTACTTTTTGAAGGTCAGTGGAATCTTCTTTGTCCCCAGTATTCTGATTTCAGTGTTTTGCCTTTGGGTGGTTCTGTTTGCATCCATTGTACTGGGGGCTTGTTGGACATTTTCAATCTGGAATCTCATGTCCTTCAATTTTGGGGCATTTTCCTATAACATTTGACGATTATTTTACCTATATATTTTTGTAGCTTCTATTTCTTAGCTCTTGGAGATCAGTTTTTTAATTTTCTTCTTTCCTCTCCTATATTTTGTCCTTTACATTTTTGTTTTGTTTTCTGGGAGATTTTATAATATTTATCTTCCAACCTTTTCATATAAAAGTTTCTTTCGATAATCATATTCTTAATTCCCAAGAAGTCTTTTCTTTTCTCTCAATGTTCCTTTTAAAAAGATATCTAGTTCTTGTTTCAAGGATATAGTACTTTCTCTCAGAGCTCTGAAGATATTAACAATGATCGATTTTTCCTCCGAAAAGTTTTAAGTTCTATGTTTTTTGTTTCCACAGAGTTGCTTTGTTTATGCTTTTGTGACCTCTATTTATCATATTAGAGGCTTTCCTTAGATAGTTATTCATCCTGAACATAGTATGTCCTCACTTAACTTCCCAGGTAGGTTCTTGGAAACTGAGACTTCAAGTGAAAACAAATTTTACACATAGGCTAATTGATATAAATGAGAATTAAGTTCTTACAGTGTATTTCTGGTTACAAAACATTATCAGACTTATAAAGAAAGACCCAAAATGCTTCCAATATGAAACATTAAAATAAATATGAGCTACACATGCATTCAAGAAAAATTAACAATATAATTATTTGCCAACCTATTTATTGCAGTACAGGGTCATGGGTGGCCTCTCCCAGTAGTTCAGGGCCACCACCCCGGAGGGGATGCCCTTCCATTGCAAGGGCACTCACAGACACCCGCACTCTGACTGGGACAGTTCAGACACACCAGTCTACCTCATGTTCACATCTTTAGGAGCACTCCTTCAAAAACTGGAGTACCTGGAGACAATCCACATAGAGATGGGGAGAAGCTACATATTCCACACAGGCAGTGGCCACTGCTGAGAGTTTTTTTCCTCATCGACATTGTAATAAAAGAACATTGAACAAAACAGCAGTTGAGAGCCAGATGTACTTTAAAGGTTAGTCTAATAAAATGCCTATTGAAAACTCTGAGAGTGTGGGTGGTGAGGCTTGGCAGTTATGAGTATCACGATAAGAAGATCTAGCTGGCTGTTTTATTGGGAAACCATCAACATAATTTTCTTTATGTCTTTCCTTCTGGGTTTGTCAGATTTCTCAGAGAATATACCTACAGTCTTCCACCTGAAAACCTACTTGACATCTTCCTGGAAGCTAAATGGGAGAAGAGGTCTCAGGTTCCTAGTACCCAATATGTACACTTTCACTTAATCCCTCTCATCTCAGTAAGGTCCCTTGACAGCTATACTTGGCATGTCATATAATTTAGAAACACTTTGTCCCAGTCTTTCCAGAAAGTGAACATCCAGTCTTTGTGGAGGTAGGGGAGGACTTACTGCCAGATAGGGGTCTAAATGCACATTTAGCTCTTTTTCCCTTTTGCCCAGGTCTAGAGTTGATTCATGTAATCAATTCTGGAGTCTTTTAGTGGATTCTGAAGTATAAATCAGGCTGCTTCTCTTTTCTGGCATTATCTTTGGATTGCTTTTTTTAGAAATGCTATATTTGCTCTCCAGTTTCTAAATGCTGCTACTGTTGTTTCCTCTGCCATTTTACTCATATTTTAAAAGAAAGCAGAAGTGGATTCTTTCTGTCTCCACATTTCACAATGAACCATTTTAGAATAAAGCCGTGTGTGTGTGTGTGTGTGTGTGTGTATACACACTCACTCTATATATGCATATATTTATATATATACATATGTATGTATGTTATGTGTCTCTTCCTTATAAAATTAGAATATAGAAGGGAAATAAACTTGTAACTTCATGTTTGGTTTTGTACTTTGGCTGAAGAGTAGACTGAATTATGAACAGATAAAAAGGTGATGATTTTTGTGTGTTTCATAGTAAATTGATGTGCTTTTTTAATAGGTTGTAGTTCCAATGCCTTCATGGTTAACAAAAACCAGAGAATCTGTCACAGATGATCCTCAGAAATTGTCAACGGAATTGTCTATAATTTATAAGTACTCTCCATATAAAACCGAGGCTGAATTAATGCGGCAATTTGATTTAATCTATGGGAAATGTGGTAAGATCATAAAAACGTTGAAATCTTGATGGAAGTATTTGTTTTCATTGTTTTATAAAAAGCACTCAATTTATGTGTTCATATTTTTTCTCTTTATAATATCACATGGCATCTCACATGAGGGCAGTCATTTGTTTTAGCCATACAGTGTGTATAACTTTTGTATTAAGAGAATGCAAACATATATAACTTCAAGTCCCTGATAGCGGGAGAAAGGTGTGTACTTCCATCAACTTGGTAAATATCGGTGAGAAAAGGATGATAAAACTATGACCACAGGGACTGCACGGTCCTGGCACCAGATACAGTTAGGAGATGCTTATTGCAGTGTTTAAGATTAGATGATCACAGGTTTATGATTTAGTAACTTATAAAGTAATGAATCCAAGTTTCTGTGTCAATTAGCAATAACTTTGTAGATACTCTTTCCCAAATTAATAGATCTCTTTTGCATTTTTTAACCTTCACCAACTTTCTGATGAACATGAAGAAATACCAGGTCTAGTAATATTTTCAGTGCCAATCTTTCTCTAGGCTTCCACACTTTTTATAACAAGAAGCAAAAAGAATCCTATTTTAGAGAAGGCTATATGCACTCTGCTTTTTTCCAACCCCTTGATTATTGTATTGTTTATAGAAAAATTTCAACAAATTTATTTCTGAGTTAGCCTACGTTACTTTTGAAACTTCTTCTTTAACCAGTGGCATTTTGTTTAATTGGTGGTGTTGTGTTCCATCCTTTTCTTTTTCTTATAGAAAAAAATATGGGCAATTATAGTATTCATTTTATTAACATGTACATGATATACTTTGAGGATAGTTGATGTCATTTCTTAGTTGACTTTTAATTGTGAGTACTCTTATAAATAGTAATGAAGAGTGTAATATTTCCTGAATACTTTTCTAAATGGCTTATAAAAATTAATTCATTTAATCCCTAAAACAAATATGTGTTTTAGGTGCTTTATAAGTGCCACTGTATAGATGAGAAAAACTAGGTTCAGCGATGCTAGGAATCTTATCTGAGATCATTGCACCAGCACATGGTTGATCCAGGATTTAGACCCAGGCAATTTGCTCCCAAGTCCAGTTCTTAGCCACTATGTTCTCCCTTGTATTTAAGTACTACCAAAAAAGTGTAATTGGTTGTTCTTTCAATTTACCTAACAATTCTGTTTATCTTCATATTATAAATAACTTTATAAAGCATTTGTTTTTTGTTAACTATGCTTTAGAGCAGGGTCAGCAAACTATGGCCCCCACAGGTCAAATCTGGCTTCATCCCTGTTCTTGTAAATAAAGTTTTATTGGAATATGGCCACACTCACACATTTATGTGTTCTCAGTGGCAGCTTTCATGCTACAGTGATAGAGTTGAATTGTGGGTAGTTGTGACAGAGACCATATGGCCTGCAAAGTCTGGAATATTTATTACCTGGCCCTTTACCAAAGAAATTTGCCAACACCTGTTGTAGGGTTTTAAAGCAATACTTCATATTTGTATACATTTTTAAAACTGTAATTTGTTCTTATGTGCATTGATTGTAGTTCCTCCAATGAGAGCTTTACCTGCAGTACAAATTTGGCTATTATAAAATAGTTTTTATAATGCAAATTATGAAAAACGCCCAAATTTAAGAATACACATTGTAAGAGTTACAATAAGTTGAGAAGTAATAAGAAGCACTGTTACTGTGGAAACTCAACACTCTTTGGCAGAGAGTGGAATTTTCTATAAGACATACATTTTGGAACTTATCCAAGCATATTTACTAAAGTACAAAGGGAATTTTAGCCGAGGGCAGGCTTAAATCAATAAATGTGATAATATCACCACGACATATTTAGTGTAGTAAAAATACTGACAAGTTAAACATCTATTTTGCGCTAGGTACTTTGCTGGTTATTTATAACTTGAAGCTTCTGCTCAGTGGAGAACCAGAGTTGGATGTTAAAACTGACAAGGAAGATATACTGATGGCCGAAGCTCTTGAGGAGTAAGTAATGTGTGTGTTTGACAGAAGGTCTCTCAGAATGGCACAGAGCTGTCGTGAGGAGCCTTGCATCATGGTTCAGGGTCTGAGGCTCCTGAGACAATTCATTTTACCCTCCTTACAGATGAAGAAAGTTAGGCTAAACCAGTGGTCGGCAAACTCATTAGTCAACAGAGCCAAATATCAACAGTACGACGATTGAATTTCTTTTGAGAGCCAAAATTATTAAACGTCTTCTAATGCCACTTCTTCAAAATAGTCTCACCCAAGCCATGGTGTTTTGTGGAAGAGCCACAGTCAAGGGGCCAAAGAGCTGCATGTGGCTCGTGAGCCGTGGTTTGCCAACCACAGGGCTAGACTGCTGGTTCCCAACCTCGCAGAGCTTCTGAGTGACGTGGGCAGGTTCTTAAGATGTATGGGATCCTGTGTCATCTTAGACCTACTGAGTCAGAGTCTCCAGACATGAAACCAAGTATTGAATATTTTCTATATGCTCCCCAGGTGACTCAGAGGTGCCAGCATGTTTGGGGATCACTGAAATATAAGATCTTTAATAATCTCTATTTCAAAACCTCCTGCTTGACGAATATTAAAATGGAAAAGCCCACACAAATAGTTCATTATTCATACAGAGCATTAAAAATGCATGAGCATAATATGAAGCAAAAAGGAATAGGACCAAATAGCAATTGACAATACCATGAACTGCATACTTGTATTTTATAAATAAATAGATTCATTTTTCTTGGCTATTAGGAATCCATAAAAACAGCATGAGAAAGCACTGGAGGAGGGTGTGTGGGTGAAAAAGTGTGAAAAAATAATGAAATGGTGACTAACCTATGTTTCTCTGAAATAACTTTGTATTTAAAACTTATAAGCTTAAATGTGCAGTTTCTTCATGTTAGAACTTTAGAGCTAGAGGGAATTTAAAGGAATTTAATCCAATTGCAATCATTTCAGATACCAATGTTGTTTAATAAAAGTATGATGAGAACCACAAATATGAATCTCATATGTACCCATATTTTCTAATAGCCACATTAAGAAATGTAAAAAGAAACAGGTGAGATTAATTTTAATGTTTTAAATTAATCTGGTACATATGAAATGTTTTAACTTCATTTTCGATAAGCAAAGATCTATATATACAAAGGCAAAGTGATCAATCGTTCATCTGTCTAACCATCCAACTGACCGACCAGCAGTACATATAACATGCACTGGCAATTTAAAAATAAATGTTGAGTCGCACATGTGTGATACCTATAAAGCTCTCGCTGGCACCAATTACACACATTTTAATTTTATAATACTATATTATATATACTATTTTGACATGTAATTTTTTGCAGTAACATAATTACCACATGTATCTTTCTTCTAATTAATTGCCTTTCAATGTACACAAATCTGTGCACCGGGCCACTAGTTAAGATATATTTTACATTCTTTTTAATACTAAATTTTTGAAATCCAAAGTGTGTTTTACACATGTAGCACAAATCAATTTGAAATAGTGCCCAATAAGCATAGGTGACCACTAGCTGCCATTTTGGACAGGGCAATTTTAGACTAAGGTATTAACACTCAAGTAAACACATGAATTTAAAGAAGATTTTTTTTTTTTTGCCTTCGAGGTAAAATTTAGAAAGTTTCTTCCATGGTAGAAAATTTACTGTTTGGTAACAAACTTTTAGATTTTCTTTTCAACTTTTTTTCTGTTTTATATTTCTTCCTTATTTTATTTCAATATCTGGAATTCTTAATTTACACAGAAATTGATGTTTTTTTTCCTTTGGAAAAAAATCCAGCCTAATTACTATTGGACAAATGTTGGGAAGCCTTTTGCTAACATTAATATGCCAATATCAGGAAGGAGGCCCAGAATTGTTCCTGGCACCTCCATTACTATCTCCCCCTTTCCCGCTGGCCCTGTCCTTCCACTTAAGAGCTGCTTCTAAAACCAATATGTCACGCTGTTTAAAAGCCTTGTGCATAAATTTTCCATTATCTGTCAGAGTGCCTTGGCATTTCAACACTAGCACCAGGAAACAAGACATTATTAGAGGAATAATTTGACAGCTCATTCTTTGGGGAAAAGTTCTTACTGTTTTCAGATTGTTTAACAAAGCCAGCCACTTCTTAAGCCATTTAGGCAGTTAATTATAAAATAAAGAAAATGGATAACAACTAGGACATATACAATTTCACTTTGAAACGTTGACGATATTGATTTTGTTTTGTTTTATTTTTTAACAGAATTTTTCATAGTTCAATCACAAAGTCTTTTAAAGACAAGGATGAGGTCTCATTGAGGATGGGGTCTGTACCAAGGATGCTATACATTTCATGGCTTTTAATACCAGTACCATGGTGGTGCCAAAAGGGTGGCAGTTATCTTGAGGGGAAGATAGTAATGCCACCTGTTTTTTTCCTCTGAAAAGTCAGTGGGTTCTGGTATTGATACCCATTCCTCTTCACTAAGAAACTGGAAAAAAATTAACTCTTGGGGTTCAAAGAATATTTCTGGACTGTGGTGGATTTTTCTGACCTCCTTGCATTTATGACTTCTGAAATTTGAATTTCTAATCAACTACAGTCTACATTATTTTGGTTTCTGGAACAAGTAGTTTATAATCCTAATAGATAAAAACCCTGGGTCCGTCACATTCACAACAACTAGAGACTCGACCTAATGCCCAGGCTGTGCACACAGCAGGCTCTGATGGGTGAGGTCTTGTGGCAGTGGAGATGGGGACAGGGGGTAGAGGGCTGGCACTCACACTCACTCACAACCGCATACACAAACACAGACGCATACAGCACCCACCAGCTCACAGCCTTTTCTCCCTTTCTTTTCTTCCCTTTCAGCTCGCTCTCAGAGCCTCTCTCAGAATGAGGAAACAAAACAGACAGCCTGAAGAGGCTTGGATGAAGGGAGGCTGGGTGGAGCAGCCCCCACTGGCCCACCCCCTTCCAACTGGGAGAGAGGAAGAGGGAGGCAAGGAGGCAGGGAGGTCTGGAGGACTGCTTTTATGACCTTACCATACTATTGCTATTTTGATTATTATGGCCTGTAGTATAGTTTGATATCAAGTAGCATGATTCCTCCAACTTTGTTCTTTCTCAAGATTGTTGTGCCCTTGGGGGTCTTTTGTGGTTTCATACACATTTTTGGATTATTTGTTCTAGTTCTGTGAAATATGCCATTGGTATTTTGATAAGAATTGTGCTGAATCTATAGATTGCTTTGGGTAAGTATAGACAGTATAACTCTTTATTTTTCCCTTTCCATGGGCATGGTATATGTTCCCAGTTATTTGTATCTTCAGTTTCTTCAGTATTTTATAATTTTCCAAATACTGGTCTTTTACCTGCTTGGTTAAATTTATTCCTAGGTTTGTTTTGTTTTGTTAATCCTCAAATGATGATATTTTTCCCCATTACTTTTCAGAGAGATTGGAAGGGAGGGAGGGTGATGGGGGGGCAGTAGGGAGGGAGGAAGAGAGAGAGGCGAAGAGAGAGAGAGAGAGAGAGAGAGAGAGAGAGAGAGAGAGAGAGAGAGAGAGAGAGAAACATCAATAATACAGACACGTTGGTTGGTTGCTTCCTGCACTCACCCTGCTAGGGGTAGAGAGTGAACTGCAATCCAGGTACGTGCCCTTGACAGGGAATTGAACCTGAATCCGTGTAGGTGCACAGGCTGATGTTCTAACCATTGAGCGAACCATGGCAGTATTTTATTTTTTGATGCAATTGTATGTAAAAAGTATTGCTTTCTTAGTTTCCCTTTCTGATAGTTTATTATTGGTGTATAGAAATGCAACTGATTTCTCTATATTTATTTTATATCCTTCTATACTTTAGTAAATTTTTAAATGAGTTCCAGTAATTTTTTTGTTGTTGAAATCATTAGGGATCTTTATATACATTATCATATCATCTGCTATGTAGGCTTGATTAGTCTGATTTCATAATGCTTTCTTGATAAGTGACTTTATAATCATTGAATTGATTCATAATAATTTACATAACTATTCCTGTATTTTTGGATGGTAGCATTGCCCTTAAAGTTTCACATTATTTATGGGTAGTCCTATATAATAAAGAGGTAATATGCTAGTTTACCATCACACCCTCACAAGATGGTGGTGCCCACAACCACAACATGGAGGTGCCCATAGCCACAACATGGCAGCACCCAGTCCCCTCAGCCCCATGGGGGGATGGCGGGGAGGCACCGCACAACTTCCGCCCAAGTCTCCCAGGCCCCTCAGCCCCACTGGCAGTGAATTTTCATGCATCCATTACCTTTTTAAAAAATCCTTACCCAAGGATATGATTATTTATTTTAGATCATCAGTTCTCAGGGAGCAGGTTTAAGTCAGCAGATGGGCATCCCCCAAAAGTCCCAGACTGTGAGAGGGCACAGGCTAGGCTGAGGGAACCCCCGTGTGCATGAATTTTCATGCACAGGCCTGTAGTCCTATATAATAAAAAGTCCAGCGACCATAAGCGTAACGCCTGGAATGACTGCTTGACCAGTTGCCATGAGGTGCATTGATCACCTCTTGGCCCCTCCCTCCCTTGGCCTGCAAGCAAGTGGCTTGTGGTGGTGGGCGGGGCAATGGCCCAAGTGACCAGCAGCAGTGGGCAGGGCAGTGAGTGACAAGTGGTGGCAAGCAGCAGTAAGCTACTCACGCATGATTTTGTGTGCTGGGCCTCTAGTGTTAACATAAATGTATTCATGCTGATGGATTTTTAAAATTTTTGAATTATGTTTTAAGGTAGATTGTCAGGATGGGAGCTACTGAGTCAAAGAATAAACTTTTGTATAGTTCTTGTGAATATTTGGCCTCAGTTTTCAATTTAGTAATCAAAACCTTTTATCTGCTTTGAGCTGAAGCTCTAACCAGAGTAATCAGATCATTGGCAGGGCCTTGTTTCAATATGATAATAACCTCATGAAAATTTCATCAGGAGTGATGTTCAAGCACACA